GTTCCTCCCCGCGCAGCCACCGCCGTCCCCCTCCCCAGTGCCGAGCTGCCGGCGTTTGTGCCGCCATCTCGTCCCTTGCACGCCATCCCCATCAGAGTCACGCTCTGCTCTTCCCAAATGACCTTGTAAGTGAGATAACGAACCACCTCTCCTACTTAAGAAAACCCACCTGATTTTTGTTTTCTTTTTTAGAAACAGCAAAGCGCTCGTTTGTCCTTCTCAAGGTTTTCCTACCAGTTCCTCCTTCAGGAGCAGTAGCGATGGTGACGGACAGCTCAGGCTGATATCAGAGCGGTCCAGGCTGCCTTATCTAACACCTCCGATCACACCCAGGCGAGAGCCGACGCGGATGCGTTTGAGACGTACCTGATCCAGCAACAGCCCCGTGTCATTGACGATCATCCGCAGCGGCTGGGTGCCCGTCCTGATAAGATAAGTCCCTATCTTCTCCACGATCTCCCCAAAATGTTCTTGCAGGAGGAGGGAACACAGCTTTATTTCCGCCTGAGTCATCTCGACGGCAGATTAAAACACCCGGCGGTGCTGGGGAAGAGCGCTGACGTTATTACGGCTGTTTTGGGGGGACGGGAGGGTGCTGCCAGCCTGATGAAACCCCTCTGTGCTCTGTCCCAAAATGGACGTAGGGTAGGAGACCGAGTCTTGAGTGAAACCAGCCCCTGGCGCTGTAGCAAGAGGGACGGAGGGGGATGGACACGCACTGTGGCACACGGCTGGTCCCTGTGTCCCCTCCCGGGGGGTGGCAGCCCTGTCAGAGGGGGCCTGGGTCCCCCCTCCCAAGGGACAGCCATGTCAAGTGGGTCAAAGTCCCTTGCGTGCCCCTCCCAGATGGAATGCCTCCCGCGAGGGCTGGGGTCCTGTCAGAGGGGTGGGGGTCCCCGTGTCCCCCCCCTCAGAGGGTGGCAGCCCTGTCACAGGGGGCCCTGGGTCCTCCTCCCAAGGGACAGCCATGTCAGAGGGGTCGGAGTCCCTTGTGTGCCCCTCCCAGGTAGGATGCTCCCCCCCAGAGGGCTGGGGTCCTATCAGAGGGGTCGGGGTCCCCGGGTCCCCTCCCGGGGA